AATTTTAATAATAAAAAATAAAAATATTTTAAAAAATACACTTATTTGTTTTTAAACATGTCCTTATTAGTCATTTAATCTTAAACAACAATCGCTAACTATTATATAGCCAAACAGTTATACTTATTAAATCCGCTATTTACCATCCGCTACTCACTTTCCACTAACCGTCATCCACTATCCGTTAACTGCCACCCGCTACCCGTTACCACTATCCGTTATCTGTTACCTGCTATCCGCTGAATTTTAACTGCTGTACCAAATATGCCCTAAAACTCTTTTTTATTATCGAAAAAAAGGCGAATCATACAAATTAACCCTCAAATTTTGTCAAGTGGTGTTAAATAAGCCCTTCAATAAAAAACAGACACATTTCCCACCTTATACTTTTGGAAGGTGTTAAATAAACCCTTATCATTATCAAGCCGTTTAAAACTAACGGAGATCTGTATCAGAGTGGGATCCACTGAGTGATGTGGTGCACAACTGGATTATTTTTGATAAGTTGGCTATTCACTTCGATGATTAGGTGAACAACTCAACAAATTAGCAAAAACTCAATCAATTTTAAAAGTAGGTTGGACAAAAAAAAACTTTTGAAACCCTAATTCTTTTTTTTATTTAAATAGATTTGGAGACAAATACGACAATAACTGCATATTCTCTAACCTCGTATATGATGAAGTCTCAAGATTTGCTCCTGCAGAACTAATAGGCAATGTATTTTTTGAGATAATAGGTGAATCTCAAAAGTTTCACTTTTTTTTTTTTTTAATTTGCATAAATTGATAAAGTGTGAAAGTCATGACTTTTCTACTATAAATATCATGTTTTGATGCCCCACTTGTCTTTATAATATTTTGAAAAGCCATTGTTTTTACTTGTGTCTGCATGTGTTTTACAGCAATGGCCACTTTTATTGGTGTTTTGACTATTTTTCATGGAGAACCTTTGAGTGGGGTCCACCTATTGACTATGTTAACAATACAAGGTCAATCTTTGATGTGTATGAGGACAAAGTCAATCTGGAAGAGATTATAAAGCTTGTGCATGCTTTAGGTTACCATGACATTAGAGCTAAAAGCATTTATTTCAAGTCTCCACTTGCTAAGTTTGAAAGATTGAAATCAATTTTACGTGCTAATTGTGTTGCTGAGATTTAGTAAAATCATTACTACAAGTGGTGAAGTGGAAGTTTACATTGATCATAATGAAATGGGGCCAAAGTGTAAAAAAATTAGTTGGTGATGCTCACGGGTTGGTGAGGTTTGTAATGGGAGTATTAATGGTGTTGATATAGGAAACAACACCCAAGATATTTTTGAAAATCATAATGACATGGGCCAAATAGTTTACATTGATCATAATGACATGGGCCAAACAGTGTAAAAAATTTAGTTGGTGATGCTCACGAGTTGGTGGGATTTGTAATGAGAGTATTAATGGTGTTAACATAGGAAACAACACCCAAGATATTTGTGAAAATCATAATGACATGGGCCAAATAATTTACATTGATCATAATGACATGGGCCAAACAATGTAAAAAATTTAGTTGGTGAGGTTTGTAATGAGAGTATTAATGGTGTTGATATAAGAAATAACACCCAAGATATTTTTGAAAATCTTTATTGAAAAGAAAAAAATGTTGCTACAGATGAATACTTTGAGAATTCTAAAAAAGAACACTCTAATGATGAAGAAGGAGATGAGTCACATGTTAATGAGTAAAGTTATTTGTACTATCTAATCCTAATTTGTATTATTAGTTTATACTTATTTGTGATTATTACATGCATGTTAAAGTCTTTACTAATGGTTCATGATATTCTTGCAGCCCGGGAAAAAGGGAAAGCAACAGCTTATATCAAGAGGAAATCAAAATGCAAAATACAAGGTGTAAAAGGATAGAAAAAAGAAAAATGATTGAATAGTGATGGAGAATTAAAACTTTTAATTAATTTAAGTTATTATAAATAATAATGATTATGATATATGTTATTCAACAAGTTTTTGTTATATTTTTGTTTGATAGGTAAGATAAATTTTAAGGATATAAACAAAATTTTAATATTTTTTTGGTTAACAACTTAGAGAATTGCAGGTTTAATTAACTATGCCAGAAAAATAAAAAACCAACGCTATATATGTGTCGACACTACCTTAGGGTGTCGACACTAACCAATTAGATTTTGTACCTGCCAGGATGCGAGAAAACTCGTAGCAGAGGGGTCGACACCAATTTTTGGTGTCGACACGCCAAGCAGTTCCGCCAATGTCCGACAAAACTTGCTGAGTTATTCGCCTAATCATCAAAGTGAATGGCCAGCACATCAAAAATAGTCCAACAGTGTGTCACATCACCCAGAAAAATAGTCCAACAATTGACCTTGCATTGTTAACATAGTCAATTGGTGGACTCCGCTCAAAGGTTCCCCATGAAAAATAGTCAAAACACCAACAGAAGTGGCCATTGCTGTAAAACACACGCAAACGCAAGTAAAAACAATAGCTTTTCAAAATATTATAAAGACAAGTGAGGCATCAAAACATGATATTTATAGTAGAAAAGTCATGACTTTCACTCTTTTTCAATTTATGCAAATTAAAAAAAAAAAGTGAAACTTTTGAGATTCACCTATTATCTCAAAAAATACATTGCCTATTAGTTCTGCAGGAGCAAATCTTGAGACTTCATTATCTACGAGATTAGAGAATATGCAGTTCTCGTCATATTTGTCACCAAATCTATTTAAATAAAAGTTCAACTCTTTGTGACCTAATGGTCACCATTTAAATGGGTGTGATGGACATAATAATCTGGGTTCAAATCTCAGGCCCTACTTCCCTTTCCCTACAATTTTCTCCCTGTTCAAAAAAAAAAAGCTAGATTAGGCATTGTTGGTAACTAAATACGTCTTAAAACTTCTACCCAAAATTTTTTTTACAAAATCCTAAACTATT